GAGTGTCCCACAAGAGTGTCCTACAAGAGTGTCCCACAAGAGTGTCCCACAAGAGTGTCCTATAAAAGTGTCCCACAAGAGTGTCCTACAAGAGTGTCCCACAAGAGTGTCCTACAAGAGTGTCATTTGGACATATTATATAGTTTTTCGAACGTGTTCGCATTCGGGTTCGTGGGTTCCATATTTTTTTCTGCTCCGGGAGCTCAAATGCCAGAAGAAGGACGGATGCCTTCCTGCAAAAGAATGGCTGCCCATGGCAATGGTCCAGGACTGAACTTTCCCCCAGGTTCTTTCTTTATTTATGTTTTCCCCCGTTGGTCCGACCAACAAAGGCAAATCATGACAAATTGTTGTTATCACCTAAGAAATCAAGAAACATGTGGACTGCATTCCAGTCGCATGCACTCCATTTTTAATCGGGCGGTGATGTCTTCCAGACCATGTCAAACCTTTACTTGTAGTGATGCATGCTCTATGTTCACGGTCCATGTGCAAGCCAATCCAAACATGAACCAATTTGCTGGACCAGTAAAACCTTAGTACAACACACCGTATCATATCTATTTCAGAGTCCCTTGCTGCGTAGTTTCCTGCGCTGAGACCCACCTGCTGCACTCAAGCGGATTTCCCGCCGGTGCGGGGCCCCAGGCCAGCTTAGAGCCAGAGGTTGAAAGCGATTATATATCTGTATCTGGGGAGTGAATCTACGCTTGTCCATTGATTGGGGTGGCTCCTTTCTGCAAAGTTCAGGCACGGATGATGTTGATCAGTTTGCTTTTACCCTTGTCACCTTTTAGTGGATGGTTGCATTTCTTTTGTGAGGGTGTCCCCTCACAAAGCTTGCAAGAGGAAGGCTATCCTCCTGCTGTTGGAGAGCAGTGTTGAGGAGGTCTTGTTTTTGACCATGCTTCTTTCAGGAATTCTTCCAGTGAGCCCGTGAGCCCCCCTTTTGGCCCAAACTCAACCTCCAGGCGAAGAAAAGCAGAATTCAACCAGAAAATTGGCCACAGAATGCTTTGAAGGAGCCTAGCCCTAGGAACCCGTTCGCTGAGCTCGCCGAGCTGCCGAGCAGCCCCGGGAACGAGCAAGGAGCGCCAGCCGTTTGCGACACCAGCCGGACCACACTCCCACACACTCCACAGCCCAGCTGTGATGTACTGTTGATGACTGGTGGAAGAATATAAGAACCATGTTAAATGCTTCAATCATGTTCCAATGGTCAACAGTCGAATACAGTCCAGATACATTAAATAACGATATATGTGTTTTTTCAATATATCAACAGTCCATTAAACATCCATGAACTCTGGTCAACAGTCAACAGGTACATTGTAAAACCTCTACAGCTTGAAGCGACGCTGTCCGATCCACTCCGTGGGAAGCCCACGAGGTCGTGCTGGGCGGCGAGATCTCTTGGGGACAGCTGACGACGCTGGGCCAGCGATGGGCGACCGCGGTGACCAGAAAAACAAATCTTTTGAGCATTAAGGTCGAAACATGTTCTTGCCATGTTCATGCAAGTGAGGAAAAATAACATGCTAGGCAAGATCTAAATCGAAGTGGACGCAGCTCGAACATCTTCTGAGACAAGGCTGAGAGCACTGAGCACGGCCAGTCACTGGATCGGACTTCGACGGTTTTGACGGTTTCGGTTTCCGTGGAGGTGGATCCTCGGAGCATTCATGAAGATGATCGTGATTTGTTGGGTCTGTCCTATTACCCTTAACAGTCGGTAAATATTTGAGAGAAAGGCCTGCAACCGAACCATCAACATCCACTGTCACTGGTATTGGGATAAACCCAAGTGATTTGTTTCACTTCATTCTTCACTGTGTTGACTTTTTAGCCTGACAGGGAATATGATGAAGCTACTAATGAAACCCCACGTTTTAGACATACTCGAATCAAAGCAATCGATGCAGAAGGTGTATGTTTTGCGTTGTGCTCTAGATTTGATGTTAGAATTGTAGACGCAAGATGCCGCAAGCATCACCTCGCAAGAGATGAGGTTCAACAAATTGGTTGCGAGGTTGTCAATGTTCCAACAATCAACCCTGATCTTGCCTTATGAACTCTGAGGAGTATGTATGAAGGAAAACGCTGAGACCCCAAGTGTCAAAGCAAACTTGCACCAGCAAACACGTATACTATAAGGCCGCTGACTTGAGCTTTGTTGAGTTGTGTACCCATGGTGTTGCATCAGGTTGTAGGGAGCCCATGTGCGATTCCAAGACCCACGGCCCTTCAAACGCCGACTCCGGTCGCCGGTCCCCAGGGTCGTCGGGTCGAAGAGCGACCGAGGAAGGGCCTCAACAGCTCCAGCACGGTGGGCGAGTTGTTGGCACAAATCACCGAGCAGCTCCTCGGTGGGGAGTGTATCCATGCGTCAAACCTTTCTAGAGGCTCACTACTGACCACTCACTGGCTAGGTGAACGCCACAGAACTATGTATCCCACAGCATCCCTGTGGAAGATGCTCCTTTGGCCAAGTCCTGTCAAGAGCAAAGCCCGACGAAGCCCTTCTGGGACGACTTCTCACAGGACACATGCTCAAAGCACATCGTGTGCTGCAGAGGGGTGCCAGAAATCAATAAGAAGGTGAAAAGGTTGGCAATGGCTCAAGAAGGGTACCCCATGGCACCTGCAAACGGAAAACACGACAATCAGTTGCAAGGAACAACACGGTAAAGGACATTCCGGAAAATCACCAGAAACAAACATCCCGGCCAGGAGTTCCAAAGCGTAAGTGAGTGATGGATGGGCATTCTGAGTGTCCAGCTCTGTGCGGGATGTTTGTTTTATCATTTGTTGGGGGCTATGTATACCTGGCTCATCCGGCACCAGCACGTAGGAGGAGCATGCAAGTCAGCCAATCCGTGCCGTGTTCATTTGCAAGATAGTTTCTCTTCAATATCGTCCAGCACTCCATGTGTGACCTAGATTGGGGTGGTTGCACGGGCCAACCGTGGCATATGAGTACCAGTCCCAGTCCCGTTAAGTCTTTGGTTCCATGTTCCGACCGGCCACCCTCGTCGAACACCAGTGTCCGAGCCTGGCCTCTAGTCTGGGTGGTGGCTTCGGCTGTGGGTCATGGCACGACCGGAGACCGACCGGGCACGAGCTACCTCCAGTCGAGCTCCTTCGCCGGACGACCGGTCCGACCAGTCAAGCTCCAGGTGGGTTGAACGACCCACCCCCAGCTCATGATCCACGGTCAACCTCGGGATGATTGAATACCACTGACAATGATTAATCGGATTTAAAGCTGTTTCAAGTGAGTTGAACGCTCCAACCCCTGCGACACCGAGGATGTCCTTCACCCCTCCTTTGCTGACGCGATCTGGCCACGCCCTCACGCAGCTTCAGGTCACCGAAGGGCACGGCCGGCAGTGTTCAATATCGCGTGGCTAAAGAGCAACATCTTCACAACTTCCTACTGCTGTCTATGCCTGATTCAGGTTGAAGACCCTTAGAGGTATATATTTGGGACATGTTGAACGTTTGACCGGACCAGCTCCATCTGGTGACCTCATACCCCGGACACTCCATGAAACTCGCATAGATGCTGCCCCAAAGTACCCCTCAAAGCACCCCCCGAACAGTAGTCACACGGGTCGTGTTTATAGGATTTTCATGGATTTTCAATAGGTATGACCCATGGCTGCCAATTCCCTCATCGCAAAGCGGAGCGGAGCAGGGAGCCCGTTGTTTCACTCTTTGGGAGATGAGATGGTTCCTTTGTTTGTTTTGTTTGGAAAATCGTTGTGTGTTTCATTATTCTGAACTTGTTGGCGCACATATCCCAGACCTGCGTTTTAGGCGATCCGAAATGGTTGATCGACCCTCCTAGTGGGATTCTTTTGGCACACGGAACCTGCGGTTCCAAAAGGAACCTGCGCAGGAAGGCGACTTGCTGGGTGCCGTCCTGGGAAATCTTGAGGCGCCGAAACTACGACTGCTGGGGACAGGCAGGCGTTTGGGGCAAGTGCCCAAAGCATTTCTAATCCCCATGTGATATGTCTGATATGTGTGTGCGTATGTGTTGTTTATTTATTTACCCTATGAAGAAGTTCATTCCCGTTCCTTCCTGCACCAGCAGTCAATGAGAAGGAGTCAGGAAGTTATTTTGCATATCTTGCATGGCGGTAGATGAAGCCAACAGCTTGGAGTCTTTTTTTGTATCCAGTGCTGCTTTCCACAAATGGTGCTTGCCCCATATCTGTGAGCAGCATTGAATCACTGATTTGTTGAATCCTTACATGCTTATAGGTGTTGGGGGCGGGTTTCCCAGTCTCCGTCAAACTGTGTGTTGTTCACACAGCAAACACCGGGTGACTCACCTGACGTAAAAGCGACTGGGGATGAAGATTGTTTGCGATACGCAAGCTAGGATAAAGACAAATTACATGAGAACTCACAGAGAAGATCGGGCTTGTTGGGTACCTTCCACGGTGGGCACTTCAGTCCTTCTTGAAGCCAGGATTTGGTGTTGCGTCATGCCTTGATCATCGAGGGAGCTCAACCTGCTCAGTCAACGACAGAAAGGCGGATTCGCCTCGCGTGAACTTGTGGAGAGTGGACATGACGGCGCTTCCCTTGATGCAAAGAGTTGTTGCTAACATCGGAGCAAATTCCTTTTTGGAGAATTGAATTTAGCATTACAGTATATAAATGATAGAGGACCCTATTACTAATCAGGATCCAACATCAAGGATCATAATGAAAGGCAGCTGCTGCGAACACCGCAGCTGTGACAGCTGGGGGCGGGGGCCTTGTCATGGCCCAGCTGTCACGAGGGCATGACGAGGGCTGGTTCTAAAGGTTCCTTTTAAACATTGCTGACTGCCGTCACGCTGCTTCAACATCTTAGATGGAGGTAAGCTTGTTTGTGTTCATTTGTTTTGTGTGTGTGTGTTGTGGTGTTGAGCTTTTGTAGACCATTCAGTTCATGATCCCAACATCCAAAGATCCCCATGCCCGATGGAGCTTTGGGCAGATTCCTTTTCCCTTCGATGGTTTCCGATACGGCATACGTGGCATATCTAAAACATTCCCAAAAGCCTCACTAATACACGCTACCCACAAGAATTGGGTGAGATTCTACATGTGAGGACATATTTGCACCAACGACATGCCAACCGCCTTGAAGGGTGGTCAGGTGGGTTATGGATGAACCCTAAGCTGTGGATGTCAGATTAACATCCTCACCTGGCTACCATCAGGCTAGAGAGACTGGAGCTGGAGAACGCAGAGCTGCGGAGTCGCTTGCGGATCCTCGACGAACGCCGCTGGGCACAGCACGGCAACATTGTCCGTGCAAAAGCTGCTTGTAGGGCCGGCAACAGCAGGCAGCCCCTATTTGCGGCCAAGAAATATCAAAACCAACCTGGACCATCCTGATTGGGTGTCCTGGCAGGCGATCTTTATATATATAAGTAGTGCAGGGCACTCCAACCAGCACACCCATTCAATGGTCCCGGTAGTCTACCTGATGGATCCTGCGGGTCTGTTGGTTTTAAGTGGACTCCATTTAGGATGTCAGAGGAGCACCCGTCAAAGAAAGGAGTGCCCAATGATTTGCTTTGCAGCTTGTAGTTGAGGAAAACTCTTCTCCAGATCTCGTCATCCCGTCAGCTGGTTTCGTGGAAGTTCAGGATACCCTGTTTGTTTCCGTCGACGCCTTAAGCCCTTTGGTATCCTTTTGTCAAACATGGCCGCAGCCGACCACCTGAGGCCCAGCAGAAGAAGCCCCAGAGCCACAGGCCGGGCGACGGCCGCACGGACGGCAGTTTTTCTATGTTTTTATCACGTTAAAAAATATATGTACCTTGAGTCTCTAAAGACCTTGTTTTTCTGCGTTTTTGTTTTGGGTCTACAGTAATATGTTTGCGTTTTTGCTCGAAAAACACGTTTTCAGAGAGGAGGACTCAAAAAAGGGTACAATGTGAATCTTCATCCGGACGCGTCCGGTGCGGACACTTAAAGACGCCTTTTGAACGCAAAAAGACGCGTTTTGGACGCCGAAAAAGGGTCTCAGGACACTGTCTAAGGAGGATCTGACAGGACACAAACAAAAAAGAAACATTTTGTGACATATGCAAAAAAGAGTGCTTTCTTTCAAAAACCTTTTTTTCTTGGAAAGGCAAAATTAAAAGGGTCATTGGAGACTCAAGGTATATACAGTACGTCTTTCTAGCAGATGGTGACCGCAACAACACGAATTCAGGTGCAACATGTCGTGGCTGAACGATGGACCCCATCGGTGCAGCCGGCGAGAGCCCAGGCGGAAGCGGACGCGGAGGTGGCCAAGGTCGAGCTGTCGCCAGGCAGGCATCGGTACGCTGATGGAGTGACTGGGATTGCTTCCACCAGAGCCATTGGTTGGTTTACCATGGTTTACCTACACTCAGTGTTTAAGTTGAAAGAGCGAATGCCAACATCCAAAAACAGGATGGTTTAAGTCCCAAGCCACGCTTTGGGGATTTTGGGGCTGAAGACCGTGTGAACTGGTTGGTGTGCTGATTTAAATTCTGGCAACTGTGGTATGTTGCCCTATGTGATGGATGTTGGTTCGAGAACCTTTAGTTTGAGAATAGATGGGAGAAATCAACAGGCCCATGTTGATGAGAATTTCTGTGAACGAGGACTAGTATACAGTATACTGTATCTACATCATGTCATGCACCCGGGGGTTTGTTTCTGTGGGATGGCAAGCCCTGCATTCATCGACATTCTTTGTACCGGGAGTCCCAACATGCAAATTCCCTTGGAGCACAATAAGCCCCATGGAATCGCATGAAGTTTGCAGTTTCGCGTAGTTTCGCCTAAAGAATTCATGAGACTTTATATATATATTATATAATATAGTTAAGTTATATATGTTATATTAAGCCACAAGAGCTCTTGGATCATGAAAAATGACAACAATGGATGCACATTGCCATGGCTGGCATGCGCGAAAAACCGGACACCCAACGTGACACGGCCGGCGCTGGCACCAGGTGCTCCATGCACTCCGGCTGCTGTGGAGGCCACTGAAGCAGAAGCTGTGGAGCTCCCTGTGGAGGATTTTGCAGTGGTGCAGGCGTGAGAAGAACGGTAGGGGTCGCAGCTCTCAGTGCGCCAGCTGCAGATTCCTTCGGTAAAGTATGATTGTCAAATTGTCACGTGTGTTTTACTGTAATTATATATAATTGCTTATGTTTTTCTGTTGACCTCTCTTTGTCTCCATGCTCTCAATGTGGGCGCACCGATTTGCTCGCGAGGATCAAGCAGAGGTGGCGAAGCACGAAGAGGTCGTGAAGCGCGAAGAGGAGGGCCAGGGCCGGGTTGAGCCGAGGCCTGTAAAGATCTAGGCAATTCATACTCCAAATTGCTCTCCTTTCATCCACCATGCTTACACTACCAAGGAAGTTTTAGGGTCGAACTCAGGCTTTGGGTTGGGCTGGTAGGAGAATAAACTAGCCAGCGTTGCTTTCGCATCCCACGTTTTAGCCTGGTAGGAGTCCGCTCTGTTTGTAGGTGTTTTGCTACGGCGCTACGGCTGTTTTCTGGGGCCCCGGTCCAGGGAACGGCAGAACCTCAGCTCCTCCACGGATCAGCTCCTGGGAACGGGTGCCAGTGGATCACAGGCAGCACGAGAATGTGGGTGTCTACCATTCTACCAGCACGCCCCGACGGCACGACGGTCCGTGCCTGTCAGCATCATCTACTTTGGGTTTTTGCCTTGCCCTGCTTTGAAGCCACTGCTAAGACTACTTACCCCAGACACTCGCATGCCAGATTTGCCGATCAGTTGGTGTGGTTTGGGGGTTCACTTGGAGCGGCATATCTTCCAGACATGGAGTGTTTGGGTACCGCAACACCTACAAAAGAACGATGGTTTCTTTCATGGCAGGACCCGGTGGACGTTGAGAAGCTTGGGCAGTCCGAGAGCAAGAACCTCCTTCCTTCGTCCGAAGTCCGCGAGGCGAGGACTGGCTGGGGTGGCGGGCAGGTGGATGTGGAGGACGGTCGTGACCGGCCGGGCTACGGTTGAATCGCTTTGCATGGAAAAGGGTTTTGAGATGTTTTGGCATCAAAAAGGGGTCCTTGCTCAATAACAAAGACACAGACTTCATATGATTTCCCATTCAACCCCGCAGGAAGATCTGCATCTCATGATATCTCATGCCTCGTGAGCTTCCGTGTTGCTTTCTCTTCCTTCCACGGCCCAGCTGGTGAAACACCCTCCCAGGTGGTGCCTCCACCGGAGACGCCGTTGCCAGAGCTGGCACCGGTGAAGGAGTGACGTGGCCTAATCCAAGGGGTTTGGATTTTCAGAGATGGCTGTGCCCAAGAAGAGGGAGACCCTTTGAATAGCAACGGGATTGAGTGTCCGTCGTCCATATTGTTTCCTTTTTTCCCAATGGGGCATACGAGGGGGGGCTCCTGTTTTGAGAGTAAGACCTCTCCGGAAGTCTCGGATGCAAAAAAGCAGGTTGATGTCGCATGAGAAAACAACCTGGCCTGCAAGTTGCAGTGATTTGCTGGGGTTTGATGAGGTGCACTCGCTTTCTTTGTGTTGTTTGCATTTTGCTTGCGGCTTGTTGCCTGCGGCTTGTAAGGAAGTGTTCTATTCACAGCATAGATCGACCCCATTCCCAGCAAAAGTGGCAGAACTGGGATCCTGCGAGTCTTTGTCCTGCGCTGAGGGTTGGTGTTCGTGGTCATGAGACACCGTAGAATCGGCCCTTTTGCTCGTGGCCTGAGGAACCCAAGCAAGCGCAAAGGCGCCCGATCAGAACAAGGGTTAGGAGCTGGAAATGCATAAGAGTTGATGAAGAGATGGAGACCCCTGCTAAAAACATAGATCAACTCTCATCAACAGCATAGAGACCCGTAGAGATGGAGACCCATGCCCAACAGATGGGTCCCATTCTTTATTGTCAGATGTCCTTTCAAAAGCATTTTCCACGGCCAGTTTTAAAGGACACGTGAAGGCCAGGTTCAGGCTAGCAGTCCCTGGTCTTGACCTTACATCGACTATGCAAGGTTTTAGTAAGCATCTTGGTAGTTATAGTTATAGTATGTTAGACGTTGGATTTAATGTGTTAAGGATTGTTCCATAGTCCATCCCCTCCAAAATTGGCTAGGACCGATTGAGAGACCGACAAGCTGCGGCTTTCATGACAGGTTCGCCAGTGCCTTCACAACATTTGGTGATCCTCATGATGCATATATGTTGAAATGCAAGCCCGTCCCCAGCTCGCTAGATGGGGACTCCAAGGCAGAGTGATTTCTCCATCTACACGGGCTCTCTCTCTCTCTCTCTAATAGGAAGATCGCATCAGAGCGACCTGCATCAGTTAGCGGCCGTTGACGAGCCAGGCACGCCGCTTTGCGTCTCCCTGCTCTCCATGCAGCTGCTTGGCCAAACCGCCAAACGCGCACCACACGTTCAGGCCATTATAGCTTGGAGGCAAACAAGTGTACCATTCTAGATAGATCCCTGAATGCTGGAGATCCGGCTAGAACATGATAAAAAAGCAACTTTCAGGATGGTGTTTGTGCTATGTATTTACTGGTCACACCCGTGGAAGAGGTGCGGTTGATCATGCAGAAGCGATTCTTAGGTCTCCGGATCAGCCAGCCATGAAGCTTGACATGCGCCTGGGCTTTGCGTTGTTGGGCTTGGGATTTGAGCATATTTGGGCTGGTTCTCCTTATGCAGAGCGTGTTGCAATGTGTTGCTGTTGTTCGATTTGGACCCGAACAGCCACATCCAATCATCCATACACGGCACGCAATAACGGGGCGACATTGCTCACAAGACTGCATCCTTTTTTATCCCAGAAGGACCAAGCCATTGAATCACACTCTTTTGAGCCATCTGTGTCACAGTAGCTAAGAGCTTTTGGTCGCTGCGCCGGTGCCAAATCGAGAGCTTCCGGTCGCTGCGCCGGAATGTTCTCCTCCATCAATATTTTTTTCGATCCAAAACGCGCGTTCGGTTGGTCACATCCATGCGATGCCACAGATCCGATGCCATCAGACGCCTTGGGTGTGGAATTCTGTCAATGTGATTGGTCCGTATATCATTCCTTACCCGCTGCATCCCGCTGCCAGGGCTAGAAATGCGTGTGCATTTCTGACCGGAAGGTGATTCTCATGATTGATTTCATGTTTTTTGCTTGGTCATCTTGGTTTGTTTTTGTTCAGTCATTGAGGTGATTGATTCATTTGCTTACATGGAAGGCCAACCATTGGATCCATACCACAGATTCCACGCGTTGCCGCACGTTGCCACGCGTTGGGCCGGAGGCACTCCAAGTCGACCATTGCAGAGCTCAGAGCCGAAGTGATGAACGTCTTTGAAATGGATGAGCCTTGGCTTAACATCAACATTGCAGTCCATTAAGTTTATGTATGTATGTGTGCATGTAGAAAGCAACTCATCTGCACCGCATCTCGCCGGGAACTGGACGGAATCGAGCCAGCGATCATAAATCCACTCATATGAGGAGGTTTCTCACGGCTATTTAGTCCACATGTTTATTAAAAAAACACGAGTCTACTACATTAAGGTGGATCTGATCTGAACATACCAACTTGGCCATCCCTCATGTGGACTCCAGCGACCCGTTCACCTGCGTTTCATGCGGCCTGTTCTTCGGCGTGCCGACCCCTTCAGGAGCGGACGGCCAAACGGTTACGTTTCTTGCGGAAGAGGGGCACCTGCTATGTGTCTTTCAAGGAGGCGATCGCGGGGGTTGTGTTCGGAAGTGGGCCAAATCCTGCCGGTTGTTTGAATTCTTGTCCATTCTGACTGAGCAGTGGTCCCACTGTGCACCTCAACAAACCACCCATGTTCACCAGGACTTTTTGCGTGGTTTTGAGGAAGGACTGGTCTTTGTGCACCACTCGCACCATCTCATACGGTCTCATTTACCTATTTGTTCGTTACCTCACGTGCGTTTGTCATGGCAGACTCCTGGATGTGCCGCAGGGCGAACATGTCAGAGAGAAGATCTTCCTGCATGACCCGGATATCCGGGCTTTGTGCCTCGGGTTTTGTGAAGTGCACCGGGACCCGCAAGGCGAGTTGAATAGACACCCCTTAAATCCCCTTAACCTCTATATATATATATATATAAGGGCAGGGCCTATCATTATATAAACATCCTTTGTAAGGCATGTTTTTTTTTCTCCCCACTTGGCTGAGCCGCTTTGTTTTCGCCATGCTTTCGACCTCGGCTTGAGGACCCTTGTTTCCGGGCTCTTCGGGGGCAGTGGGTTGACCGGTGCAGACGGCTACCGCTCTGGTGGGGCGCCGTATCCACAAGCCGGAAGGCTACCCGATGAGTGACCCGATGCACCAAAACTGTTTGAGCACTTCGATAGCTGCTGGATTGGGTTCACTGCCGGGAAAAAGAACGGTCGCATGCAGATGATGGCTGCCAACATACAGAATATTCACTTGTTTTGAGAACCCGGGTCCCTACGAACCATTACTAAGCATATCTAAGCATCATGGACTGGTCCAAGGGGCCATGAGACCCGAGAACAAAACATCGCTTTGCTTTGTTGCATGATGTTGCTACATTGCAGTCCGATAGTTACATATAAATATAATATTTATATATGTGTGTGTATGTCACTACTTTGCAAACACGGTGTCATGTGATAAGTAAGCAGTGTTGATGTAAGTAATGTAATATCAAGTCATGTAATGTAAGCCAGTCTAGGTTCCAAAGAAGAAGCTTTTCATTTCCTGCTGAGAGTGCTGCTCTCTCAGGTCGGGCGTAAAGCTTCGCAGCTTCTCGGGCGTCGCGCGGCCGAAGGGGGAAGGACGAAGGAATGAAGACATGCCATGGGACCGGCATATATTTCAGCTATGACATTGTATTGCATATTATGTGTTCATCTAGATTGGGGTTTTAATGGTCAACATTATTTAGACCATATACTGTAGTATATTTCATACATGGAGTGTTTGGGTACCGTGTGCTGAATCCCTGTGATGATGGGAAGGAAGTCCTGCAAAGTGGACAGACAACTTTTAGTTGGGATTGATCAGTCTATGGAACTACTACCTCAATGAGGGGCATGAAACACACAGGGCCACTACCACTAATAAAACAGATGACTTGCCAACTCACATACTGTAATTTCATCAAAAGGACTTCAATCACGACAACAAAGCTATAGTTCGTAGCTGATTGCTGTTTTACCAGTGTTTTGCTTGCTGTTTGATCTATGTCCTTGCTGTTAGCTGGCATTTAGTGTTATTTCTTTGTTGCTTTCTTCCTTGTGTCCTATTGTGCGCCCCTGTGGCAATTGCTGCCTTATCTGTTATTTATCATTGTTTTTTTGTAGGGTCTTTGCTTGCCACACGTCCTCCGAACACTAAGGTTTGGACATGTTTGGACTAGGTTATTGGTCATTCAATTTGATGCCCCGCTTGCAGGTTGGCGGTAGCAGCCCAACGCCGGAGCTCGGTGGCTTGAAGCATAGCCTGCCTGCAGGTGAGCTGATGGGCAGCTGGTGGGGAGGAACATCACCTGCAGTTCCATGGTGTTGGCTGCCAAACTTGGAGGGTAGGGATGCCCCTCTCACACCCACTCACTGGGCTTAAAACTCAAAACTATACTCTTTTTAAAGCATAGTGAATTTGTTTCATTCTGTGTTCTATATGTCTTGTTGGGGTGATCTATGTTTACATGCTATGTGGTTTTGGAGTGGTCTATTTTATATGGGAGAGGAGCGCTCTCCACAACGACCCTGCCAGGCGTTGACAGCTTTATGCAAGAATTTATTCTGCACACCTTCTCGCGGCCGCCTGGATGAGCATTTTTCGAGTCGCAGTTGTTGGTCTCGCCACGACTTGGGAAGACCTGGAGGTTCAGGTCTCCGAGATGTATTCTCCGAGGTTTCCTGCTCTGGTCTTATGTTATTATTTCGCCGCGGGATGCCTTCGGCTCGACTTGGCGCCCCATAACCAAGACTCCTGGACACTCCGCTTGATGCCGCTTGATGGTTTCTTGCTTCGTCCCCTCGTCCACCACCTGACCCCTTGCGACCCGACCAGGGCCGTCCACTCGTCGGGGCCCTCGTTCGCGGTCTGAGGATGAACGAGGAGGAGCTCGCCTCATGGAACGCCTTGCCCAAATTCGTGATTTGGACCATTTGGTGCCCCGGCTGCCACGGATTTGCTTGGGGCGGGGGGCATACGACGCCTTTAGCCATCACCTGGAGATCATGGCAAGAAGCACATAGAAGCACCTTTGGCGGCTTGTTCCGGCATTTCAAGGGTTGAATGATTCTTGTCGCTGGCTATGCCAGCGCCTTCGGTCCCATCAGCCCCTTCGGGTGGAAAGTCTCTGCCCTTGCAGTAGTTCGTTGGTAGAGGCTTCTGGTTGTGCAAGGTCAATCAGCTAAAAATCCAATTAGTCGACTCAGGACTCGATTCAGGCCAGCCAAAGTGAACCTGGTGGGACATGCTCATTTGCAAACCTATTTGATCAGCATGTCCACCATTTTGCAGTCTTGGATCAGTGCCCCAAATCGGCCTCAAGCTAATGCACTTGGTCCCCAGGTTCCTTGAGCAGTTCTTGCGGTTAAGTAAAGCCATCCTGGTGTTGTGACCCGTTTGTGGGATTCTGCCGGTTTTCCACCGGGATTCTGAACGGCAGCCTGCCGGGTTTCGTCAGTGGCTCGGCTCGGTGGCATGTTTCAGCCATGTGCTGGAAGTGTTTCAGGGTGTTTCTGTGATTTTCTTTGTCCCGTTTCTGTGGCCTTCCCAGCCGCTAGCCGCTAGTGATTCTTTCCGCCCGTATACAACGCAGCAGCAGTGGAAAAAAACACAACATATCAAAACAATAACCTCACAAAAGACCACCATGACCGCCCACCACGGGTTCGGGATGCCGCCAAAAAAATCAGAAGACGGCAGAGTATGCATGCCGCGAGCGCATAGCTTCGCGCGCCACCCTTCAGGTTCGACCTTCTCTCGAGCCCCCTCTTCCGGAAGTGCCTGGATGGGAAGTTCCGGGACTCCCTCTTCGGCCCCAACTTCGACCGGCGCCTCGCCGTGGAGAAGCAGACGGGTCAGACGGAACGGAAGGGACGTCGCTCCCTTCGAGAGGAACGGCAATTTGGGTTGATGTTTCTCCATGTGTTTCTCCTATCCTCCGGTTGTGGCCTGCTTTATCATACACATATCATACACTTTTCTGGGTTCCGCTAAACTACCCACATTGTGGTGAGTCCGCTGCTTTTCTTTTGGGAGTTTCGGTTCCAGGCCTGTTTTACCTTCGCTGCTGAGGAAGGCGTCCATTCGCTTGGCCAAGGAGGACCCTGTCCTGAGAGTGGCTAGGCTGAAGATTTGGACTTGAGAGGGTTAATATATGGTGAAAAGGTGTGAGGAATGAAGTGTTGTTTACAGCCTGGCAGTTTGATTGTTCATGCTCATGCTCTACAATATTATATATATATATAGATGGACCTCCCTGTGCATCGAGTGCACCTGGCACTGCGGGTCTCTTCCCCGGATGCCTCGGTCCCGCTGATCGCGTCAGCTCTGAGGAGTATGCTTTCCACAAGCGTCAGCTCATTTCCATGTGGTTCCATGAGGAGCCGGAGGTGGAGACCGACCACCGGGGTGACGGGGTGACCGGGATTTCATCCCAAAAGAAGAACCTATCTATGAAGACTTTGAAGATTGGCCTATTATAAGGAGATGTTTAGGGTGTTTATACATGTATTATATATTAATATATCTGTGTTGTTGAATGGATTGGCGGGATCAGAGAACACATGAGAACACCGATGCCGTGTTTGATATGGGTTGACTGGTGTGTATCAGGATAAATTCCATCAACAGCATCGCCAGGGTTGCTGAACACCCTTAGAAACCGCTTTGCTGTCCCTTCCCCTGGTGGAGAAGTACTGGTCATAACAAGCCTTTTGAGTCGAAACATTGGCAAGTCCAAGCATGTGTTGTTCTGTGGCGGTCGACCTCAGCAAGTCAGTTCGCTTTTTCGGGGAGCTGCTGGATGCGGCTGATGTGATCAGGCGGAGCCAATCTCCACGACCAACTCTCTTCCTGAGGCACGCTCAGTGTTTGGGAGAGTGAGGCGTGGTTTGTACTATTCTCTACTATTTTGTTGCTAATCCTGTGGGCACCATTTGCAGGTTGAGATGTTGAATGCAAAACAGGCCGACTGATTCAAATCCTACCGATTCCACCTCCATCACTATCACATGACTTGAGGTGCCTTGATGTTTTCGGACTTGGCTATCACCATCTTCACCCTCTTCCATGCCATAAAATCAGGGTTCACCTCACCTATATACCAAGAGCTTCCAACTGGTTTTTGGACACCCCGACTCACCTCTGAGAGGCGATTAGTCTTTATAGACACCCCGTACGGAGGGTCCTGGTATAGGTTGGTTGTTCGACTGTTTGAAGAACCCAAGATTTTGCTGGGCCAACTTAGTGCCATTTTCAGCCGGTCAAACACGTGTGCCTTTTCTTTTTAGCATCACCCAGTTTGTACGGCTCTGAAGACCCGAGACAACCGGTTTGGCCGTCACTGGACATCACTGGAGCCCATGCAAACTGCCAGGCTTGGTCTATGATGCACTCATGTACAAATGTCAAGGACTCCCCACAGGACCAGGGCTTAGCCAGGACCCAAATTCACTGGAGACCAAGATAATGTGTTTGATCGTTTTTGGTCAGAATGGCTGGAACCACTCACAGTGTGCGTTTGGAGCCTTGAGCGCCTTCCTGGATCTACCCCAAAAATGCTAAGAGATCAATTCCAAGGCCGTTGCCCTCAGCTTTGAGGCAGCCAAGAAGGACACTTCGCCTGTGGAGAAAGTCCGCGACCCGAAGGCCGGAAGGGGGGCGTGGTGGGCGTGCGGTGTTCCATGGAGTTGTGGTGTTTCTTCCAAACGGAGTCCGGACCCCTACACCAAATGCTGACTGGTGCTTAGCAGGGAATGAGGGAATGGATCCAATAGAATATTGGGGGCTCATTCCCTTATTTCCTACTAAGCACCAGTCAGAATTCATCCAAATTCCCTGCTTTGTGAAGTACTGGGAGTCCATGTGCACATTCCATGTGTAGAGTTCTGTAGAGTTCCCGAGGCCATTGTCCCGATGTGTTCGGTATGACCACGAAGGAGGTTTTCAATCCATTGATTTAGCGTGACCAATCTAACACTGCAATGTTTTACAAGAGCTAGTTCGTGGGCAGGCAGCAAAGCACAATGAACCTCTTAAGTCCAAAAAGCATGTTGGAGCAGCACAGGGCAGCAGAAAACCCATCCCCTGTGCTTTGGTTTTACAATCCAACTCGAATAGCAGGTAAGAAACTGATTTTGTCAATGACACGTGCTGTATCCAAGATCGGCTTGGCCGGTCCAGGTAGAACATGCTCCAAGCTGTTCCAAAAGGCACTGAAAGGCGTGTTGATGTGCAACATGAGAAGGGATCCAAAGTAACACACAGAACCATCCTAAATCCTAAACCTCTATTTTGCAGCTATAAATCCGAAATAGCAGAAGTAATTACTCGGAGTCTTTTTAGATCATTCTTTTTCTTCGCTTCGTGAGAAACACACACACACTGCCTCAACCCACAAGGAGAGCTGGACGAACGCCTGCGGCCTTTTTGATTTTGATGAGCTGGAGGAAGCAGAGATGAAATGAGGCCTACCGACGCGAAAGAAAGCAAACGAAACAAACACATGCAGCGCACACGTTGCACCGCAGTTCCCTTCATAGCAGGGCTTTTGACCAAAGCAAAAGCCGGACTCGTCCAGATTCGTAGGGAAAGAAACACATAATTACACACTCGTCACACACTTTGAAAGGATAAGGTATGTATATATAATATACAATATATATATATATATAAATGTGTGTGTGTGTTTGTGTAGTGCGTGTGCTTAAGCATGTTCAGCTGCAGCTTCCATTATTTTTGCAGGGGGGGTGACTTTTGGCCGTATGAGAAAGCTTTGCGTTGGACCCTTTTGGTGTTGATTTGGTGGTTTACCATGCCCTATGAATTAGCGTTGATCAAGCAGCGATTCGATTTGCCTAGTTTCATGACCCGTTGGGGTGGTGCTTGGTTCGTCAGTTAGCTCTTGGGGGTGAACGAGTAGATGCACACATGCTGCTAGAAGATCTACAGCATCAAGCACTTGAGAATATATTCAATAAAACAGCTGACTGTTTGGTGGAATATGTTTAATATCTTTCGTTTTGACATGACCTTTGTGTGCAGCATACATGTTTTGACCCTTCACGCCAGGCGTCGTGATGAAGACGGTCCCGACAGCTTGTATGAAGTGACGCACTTCATGCGAGGGCGTCGTGGATTTCCCCTGTGGAGCCCGCCTTGGAGGAGCATCCGGGAGCAATCCATCTGCCTGCAAATTGGCAAACCCTGTTTGTAGAGGAACAATGTTTTCCAAGGGGCTCCTACTGCCTACTCGTTTGAGGTAGCGACAGAGGGTGAGTTGGTGTTAGTTCGGTTGCGACAGTTCGCGATGTGCATCAGAGGTTGTTCTCGCCGTTGCTTCCAAACAAAGAGACTAGACAATGGAGAGAAGAAGGAGGCACCACAAAAATATATAAAAAGACTGGAAGATGTTTCCTTGAAAAGATATCCAGCGATACCAAAGTCATCCAAAGTGGTAATCTACTCTTGAAAGGGAATAACATGGGAGATCCAGTGGTGCCCAAATTGTTTGGCAAAGTTTGCACGACTGCTGAGCTTGGGCCGGCAGGTTCATTGCCTCTGACTCAGTGGTATCCTTTTGGATTGTTTTCAATATTCTTGAAAAGCATGGCATTGCACGCCACAAGCAGGAACTCTTCCAGAACCCTGATATCTCGTAGCGGGGTTCATTTCGACAGCCTCTTCCATTTCCACCGCCCCTTCTCCGGTCGGCTAAAAACCGGTGCTAAAGCCCAACAGGTGACCCTGCGCATTGCTGTTTCCATGTAATCGGCGCATGCAGCGTCTCTTGCTGTACATTCTTTGCAGCGCACTTCTATTTGAACTTGGGGTGTTTCATTGAAAGCTTCTTTTGTCAGTTGCCAGGAAGTTTGCTTTCTTAATGTGTTTTGCTTTGAATTGCTTGCACTCCAAAGCAGACTTTCGTCATCCTTTCTCATTCTCCACTGACCAGCCGATGTCTTCAGAAACCACAGAGGCAGAGGTAGAGACATGGCTGTGACAGGCCATGGCGGACACCACGCGAAGTAAAGGCAACCTGGAAAGACCAGGTTTGTTTGCTCCAGCTTCTCAACCCGGCGCAATGAGCTGAGGATTTGTAAACATGATCATCATACATCATTCATCATGTTTTTTGTTCGGGGCTTCCCCGTTTGGATGGTGCTCAAGTAGGCTTGGAATTGAGAAAGTCTGGACTAAAAAGTTTTGCTTCCAGAGCGCGAGCTTGCAGAACGATCTCAGTCAAAATGAAGGCTTAGGGCCAGAAGTCACCGCAAAGTCATCCATGCATGATTGGTTTGAGTTGCATGTCACCAGATCGTTCTGCAGCCGGTGGCTTGGAAAAGAGGCCACTTACTACTCGGTGCAGCTCCAGTCCAGTCACTGTCCTCGTGGGATGCAAGTAAAGACCCAGGGCGATTGCTGATGATGCCCGACCAGAGGATCTCGGTTTCTGGAGGGTTTTTGGTGGGATTGGAGCACGAGCACATTTAGATTGCAGCCTTACAAACATTTCACATATTGATGCTTGTTGGAAAAGTAGGCCTATATGATGTACTTATCCGACATTGGGCTATTTGCATACTTGGATCCCCAGGGATTTCAGCTATCAGTTCATGCTTTTGCAGGTTTTTGTCTTATTGTGATCTTCCCGGTCCCCTAGCTTTGCACATGAAAATGTGGGCGGTGGATCAACCTGTTTGACTCAAAGCGTTCGATGACCCGACGAAAAGAGATCCAACCTGTACAGAGGCCGCGCCGTCCCGAACACGTCTTCGTGGTCACACTTGGCTCACGAGCAGCTCACACATGGCTGAAGGGCGCAAGAAGTTGGCAAACATCGTCCTGTGATGAAGAGGGAGTGTAGTTGCATTACTATTTCGAGAGGAGCACGTGGCTTTGGAAGTGTGCAGAACACCTGGTTGCCACCTTTTTTGAGAATCCTGCATTTTATGGGCTTTGCGAGTGCGTTTCAAGCTGAGTGCTCTGGAATTTGAGCCAGCAATTCATTTCAGCGGCTGTGGGGGGTCACGGGGCGCGAGCAGCGCTGCCCTATGCCAGTGCCAACCTGGTCTTGACCCAGTCGCGATTTCTGCCTCCCAATGGCATGCCGACTGTGGCAGCCGGCGATGGCTGCACCCTTTTTGCTTTGCCATTGGGTATTGCCAGGTCTTCACTGGAATACACACCTTCAAGAGGCAAATCCATGGAAAGAAAATACTTTATTTGATGTAGGAATATGTGGGATATTAATTGTGGTCCTATTGCGGAATTCACATGTTCTGCATTAGCTGAGTGGGAGAACATAGGAGAACACCGGTTCATTCCAGGGCTCCAGGTGGTTTTCAGCATTTTTTGCAGTGTTGCCCATGAGTGGTACTGTGATCCTGCTAGGAGTACTGCCATTGGTGCAGATCAAGCTATCCTCATGCTTCCTTGAGGCACCAACCATCATGAACCTGCGTTCCCCAGCATCCGCTGCTGTGGAGCAGTTGGTGGGTTGGACACGTGGTTTTAAAGGGTCCTTGGTGGGTTTCTTCTACCCATTTTTAACGGGGCCTGCGTTTCGAGACACCCCCGACACTTTCATCCTTCGAATCTATCCAAATCTCAAGTCCATTGTTTGGGTGCGGAACGCTTTCGGATGTTCACAATTTCATCCTCCCCTCATCCAGGGTCATGTCGCCCACTTCCCTCACGGGTGTCGAGTTGCTCTGAGATCTGCGCGGCTAATTGCGCAGGTCGTTTGTGTGTGTGACGCGGTGGTTAACATCAGTGGAAAGATGTCCCATTCTGAGCAAGTTCAATCTACTTATCACATGCAGGTAGGAGGAGGGACTTTGCCAAAGATGAGGGACTTTCAGTAGGTGATTCACTCAAGCCAGACATCTTGAGGACATCGGCGTGCTCTCGTGGACTTTTGTCGAGTCGGACGCTTCAGAAAGAACAACTCCCAGAGCATTGAGACTATAGATATAAAGATAGGCATGGAGCTGCAACACTTTCGAAAGGCACCCATATAATCCCATATACACGGCTGTAAGAGTTGATTTGAGCAATTGGAGGTGGTTTGCCGCTGGAGGTTTCTATGTAAAGCCCGCGACTCCGTCGGCCGCTTTTGCTCACCTGTCGATGGCCGCAGCGTGCAGAGCCCTATGAGTGGTTTCTTCCAGATCGGTTCGGGGTATATATAAGACACCGAAGTTCAGAAAGGGAATTGGTTTTCGACCAGGGAAGACCAACCTGGGCCCGGTACAACCGACAACCCAATAGCCATCCCTGTACCAACCACTGGGTTCCGTCAAAGTCCATGTTAGTTTGCCGTTTCGAGGTTGGGAAGTCAATCATGACGTTTCAAAAGTTCTGAATTCCATGGATCTCCGTGTCTTTAATCTTCAGGAAATGAATGACACATGTGTTTTTGTCCAATCCCTGAATTCAGGCGATTTGGACCCAGCATTCCTGAGCTGATGTGTTTTTTATTAGTGCCTCTCGGCTCGAGAGCCCATTCTTGTCGTATTTTGGGTTCGTACCCGATTCTGGAGATCCTGTTGGTTGAACTCAGTCTTGGGACTTACAAGCACGCGCTGGTTGGTTCCAAAGACATGACCCACGAACTTGAAATTCCTGGTTCCTGTCCATGCATGATGACAAGCCCTTGCCAACTCATTTTGTGACTCCGTTGTCAGGGGTCGTCACCATGGGCACGATCCCCCTTATTGAGAGGGGCGCACTGTCACTACGTTCTTTGCGAGCGAATCTTCGGCACTGTGCGCTATGTCTCCAGGTGTTCGCTCTGAAAACAAAAATCGTCCACCAGGTCACCGGGCATGATAATTCCTGAGAGCCCTCCAGGGCGGTGAGTCATAGGGATGGCACAGGTGCGCAGTAGACTATTCGATCTAAACCACCCACACTAAGGTTAAGGATGGTTAAGGTGTTTTATGCCATCGCTTGCTAATACATGTGTAAGAGGTCATTGCCATATCATTCATGTAAGGGCCAAGGAAAACCAACTCACCCCCACCATTCCTCATGGAGGGTTGTGCAACGCAGAAATGAAAGGGCTGGACTAGGAGGTTTGTATGGGTATTCGAGCCAATTGATCCTGGAAAAGCCCTGCTGGAATTGTGATGAAGGCTATATTTAGGTGTTTCGATATGTTTCGGCCGTTTCCTTTTGCGTGAATGAATCTTCCCACCGCTCAGAAGGCCTCAGGCCGTGTCCGGATGACCCTGTTGATGTGTTGTGCCATGTTAAGCATCTTCCATGCATCCAGCTTCCGTGATGCACCGTGTATCATTCTCTTTGGTTTCTGATGAAAATCGGCGATGGATGGAGTCTGGCTGGGAGTTAGGCAAGAGGTGCAGAATTTTGCTTAAGTAAAAGTGGAGGCCTAGCCTGCACGTATCAACTGGCTAGTCTTCGAACATCACAGTATATGCACATTCCAGCTGTGGTCAAATTGCCTTAGGAGGGAGGGATCTTAAATAAATCAATGTTCAATCCAGAACCCCCTTTGCCCCATGCTGAGTGGCAGTTGTACTTGTGCTCCCATGGCGGTGATCCCTAGAACATTGCAATTACACTTTGGCTAACTTGTCGGTTGCCATGCTGACGGCATGTGACGTGTTTTTTAGGATTCCTTATGTTGTACGTTTGACGTGCACCCAGTGGTGCACCCAAGAAGCCCAGGTTTGGGGTTCTCAGTGTGAAGCTTGCAAGACCCAATGCTCTTCTTGACAAGGCCCAAGTCTTTGGCTCAGAGCACTTGAGCGGCGACTCTTCGCCACTTTTGGTTTTCTCTGAGGATGAGCATGTTCTTCATTTGGTTCGCACCGCTCGCCATTGTTTCCAACTGACCAGCTCTTTTTTCACACATGCAGCTTGTATGGCCGTCGTATTACTGACCTTCCCCCCCCCCCAAAAAAAAAGCATAAATATCAATTATATGTATATACACACAAGCCATGAGCCAAAACGCATGAACTCGCACACTGCTATCCATTACGTCCTTCTCTGTCCTTCTCTCGAATTCCCTTCGCACTCCCGTGAACGACTTCAACCGCATGCCGATCCGGGCGCCGCGGGTGATTTTCCTGGATGTGGACGGTGTGCTCAACTCGGCCGCTGAGCGATCCGCAGGCGACCGATGCGACGGCACGGACTAGCACAGCTGACCGGCTGAGCGGGTTGTTATCATGAGGTGTTTGGCAGGGGTCTTGGCAGTGTGGAAGGGTCCAAGAATCAAATAGATCTAATTGAAAGGCAATACGGGTCACTTAACTGTCGTGGTAGAAGAGGGAATAGACACATTTTATTTCATTGGTTTGGTGCCCTTCCGCATTTTCAAATCACACCCATCATTTGACTTGCTTTGGATGTGTAATGATTTTTCCGTGAGGACTGTGCAGGGTTTTGATGGCAGTTTGTCATGCTTGCCCTTGCCTTGTGCAAGACCTTGAAACAGAACAGGTCTCCGGGTATCCCCAAGACCGCCCAAGACGTCAGACACGATGGTGGCGCATGTCTCCCCAGTATTTCCCCATAGCTTCGCCACTTCGCCACTTCGCCACTCCAGCCTCCCCGGTCAGTCGACTACATCGGGCTCACGGGCGGCTTGTGGCTGGAGAGGCCGGGAGGACGTAGTCGTAGGCGTAGAAGTGAGGACGTGGTCCGGCGGGAAGGACATGGAAGGACCATTCCAGATGGATGATGATGCCCAAAATACATGGATCATGGAATGGTCCTTCCATGAATGGTCCAGATAGATGTAGACGTAGATGATAGATGATGCCCCCAATCTTTTCTACGTCAGTTTGGACCACCGTTCCGGTACCTACCATTCAGGTCCTGCATCCGTCGGACCTGATCGATGCTTCGACCGGTCCAGTGAGGTGGACGACTCGTCTGGACGAGGACTTCATCGGGACGTGCCCTTTAGGGTCGGACAGGGTGGTCGTGCCCTTCAGGGTGGGTTCCTCTTCATCTCCCAACATCCCTTTCTTCGGTCAAATGCTGCACGGACTGGTGCGAGATCGAACTGTCAGCGTCCTTTTCGGGGTCTAGGCCATCGTGCCTGAGGCAGGGGATTTCGCATATTCAATGTCAACTCATGTTTTTATTCGCTTTTGAACACTTTGATGTTGGGCCTCGCCAAATCCAAGTCTTTTTGCAATCATCCCACGCTTTGAGTCCACTCACAACTTCGGCGTTCTGCAGCTCTCGAAGGTGAGAAGAGTACGGAAGAACGACCCAAGAACGACCTCGAAATAGCAGGAGTTGAAATGCAGAGACACCTGTGTGGCAATTGACTTGATGTGTGAAATGCTGGAGAATGTCCTTAACCGGACAGAAGCTCAGAATATGGAAGGACCAGAGGCAGCTCCTATAGGAACCGGAATAGGATCCTTGTGTGTAGAGGTAGTGTTCAAATGCCATACACCTTTCGCGGAATGACAAGAAAGAAGGACCCACCAAACCAGCGAGCCACGACGTGCAGCGGCGTAGCGTATCTATTCGGTCGACAACCCAGATCCCTGCGAGAGTTGACACCAAAAAGATCCAAAAAGACAATGTGACCAAAGTACTCAACTCTCCCATGACTAGCTTACTTTCATTAATTTTCATATGCCAGACTTGAATTGCAAGGGAGATCCATTTCCTGCACATCCGACAATTGTCTACGGTCGTTTTGACTTTCGGGCCTAAACATCTCACCAGGTTTCGATCCAAAGCCCAGCCTGGAAAGTACCAGAAATATATCATTGTTTGACTGTATGCACCTCACAATGCCCACAGACAGAGGAAAGCATGACCTGTTCCCTCCCAGAGGGATTTTCCCGAGCTGGGAGCCTTTTCTCCCCTTGCGGTTTCACCGCACCGCCTCAGGGGACTCATCGAAAGGCTCCGCGACTTGGTTCATTTGCAGCAGGTGCACCCGAACGATGCGACGGCGTCGGCATAGGCTCTTGGGCCAACAGAACTTGATGCTGTAAGATGATGCAAGCAGTAGCAGCAGCAGTAGTAGGACACAGTAGGACTTGATCCTACTATCATGCAACTATTGTAGGAGGCCCCAGTTCTCATGGTATACAGGAAAAACAAACTCTCCCAGATGTCAACGGGAGGCCTTTCTGGTGATCTCGTCCAGCTGGCGCAGAGACCGTTCGGCGGTGGAGGCAGGAAACTGTGGAATATGGATCAATGCAGGGGCACGAGCAGAAACTTGCAGGTTGGACATGGTGGGTTATAGCCGTGAGGTGTGACTTGGCGGAGTTCGAAGATTCTAAGGGCAACTTTTCAGCCATGGTTATATAGCTCCTGCTCCATCAATGTGGTTTTGAACATGTTTTTCTATTTTCAACAAGGCCAGTCAGAGGAAGTTCATCCACCCCACACCTGGTCCTGTTGCATCGAACAGGGAAACACAGGCTACATTGATACATGCATACCCTAGGGGTCGAAGTCTATTTTTAAAATGTTCTTGGACTCTCGACCGTTGTTTTCCTATGAACGTACGTTTTTGTGATGGTGAGTGCTGCCAGAGGGTATCCAGAGGGTCGGTGAGAGGCGTGCTGACCGACATTAGCTGCGTTTGAGTGCTCAGTGGCAATGTGAGATGTGGTGGAGTGTTCGATGGACATCAAGCAGAAGTGTGTGCAAGGTGTTGAGAAGCGAACAATCGTCGCAAAAATGAACTCCAGAACATGGCCTTGTTGACCACCAGGGTTTCATGATGTTTCATGATTCCTTTATCGATCCCATTTCGCTCTTCCATGGCATGGATGTGATGTGGACATCATGAAGAAAGCGCTGAAGAAGCGTCAGGAGCTTGGTTTAATGTCGTCCGAGATATACAAGACATGGCACGAACACACTGAGGAATTCATGCGTTGGAGTGACCATTGCACATGTGTTGAACGTACAAAGGTGCGTTGGAGAATGTGCTCATGAACGATGAGATAGATGTGGGTGCGATTCCCCGCCTGTGCTAATGTTTTTTGATGTGACGTTCCATCTGTGCTCTTAGCATCGGAGAATGCACTTGTTTATTTCTCCGATTCTTGGTCATTTGGTGCCGTTCCGGTTGTTGACCCGGCTCATACATTGCATGTGCTGCACGCATGAGCTAGTTCATGCGAACCTGGGAACACAGATGCAGATCATATGCTACTAGCGCATTGTGTAGCTCTTCTGCACTTGTTCCTTAAACATGGGGGCAGACGCCATGACAGCATCTCCGAAAGAGCACTCGGCCGCTCGCATTGAGCTTGTCAAGGCCTTGTGGAATGTGGGTGGTGATGCGGATATATTTTATTGGTGTTTCCTGGATAAGAATGTTCGTTCGAATCACTTCGAATCTTGAACATTGCAGTTGTGACCCAATGCTGCAATCACATTCTGCCAACACCCTGCGTTTTGCACATGATTTTGGACAGAACCAGCTGGGGTGCTTATCTAGTGCAGGGTTGTGCTGAGTTTGATTCTTTTTTGCAGGCCTTCTTGGTTGACTTTGTGGACGACGACAGGTTCATGAGCTCACGCAGGAAGCTTTTGAGACAGAGAGCAGGACTTACGAACAAAGACACACACAAAGTTTCAACCTCAGATTTGTCAGCTCCCTTGAACATCAACTAGATGAGTAAACGATGCTTTGAGACACTCACCTGCTGGGTTCAATTGGGTCATGATATGACACACGTCATGTGATATTACTTATAAGCTAGCAAGATGATGGACTGCTGTGCGATTAGGGCGCATGGTGTCAAGAAAATTAATGTCACCAATCGTTTTAACACGGATTTTGGGCAGTTTGCAAGGCACACATTTTCTGAAGGCTAGCTGGGTTGAATAGACATGTTGCATTGACAGCCAAGTTTCACAACGTGAAGAGTAAATCTGTGCAAACAAACAGTGTAAACTCACATCAGTCTTCGGAATTGTAGTCTTCTCGGTTGATCTGAGGTTCCGAAATGGGAGTTTATCATCGTGAACGGAAAACATATTGGAGCACATCAGGCACAGCTCTTATGCCTGTCGACAGCTGCGTGCAAGTATTTTAAGCCTATGATTTAATTGAAAAGCATTTGTCAATTTATTCTATATTATCGAAGACCACACTTAAATCGTATATCAAGGGAAGGGGTGCACTGCTGAAACATCCGCTCCAGGTTGAATCCGAACTCAACTACAGCTTTATTTTGCAATACCTCGCATCCTTCGCTCACGACTTGCCACGACCTTCAGAGGTGAAGGAGGGGATGATGCGCGCAGTCTGCAGCATGTCAATCAAGTTTCACTGGTTTCGGAGTGTCCGGCAGTTAGATTCAACTGCCGCAGTTGTTTATTTTGTATAATATAATTAACCATCGAATATGTTGTTGTTTGGTTTGCATGCGATGTTGTGGTGAGCGCGCATTGTTTGTGAAGGAGGCCTTGACGAGTGTGAGTCAAGACTATAAGCTAAACCCCTTCAAGGAGAAGGCCATGCATGAGGCGAGTAAATATCGATCGATCGATCTGTCCAGAACTATCCAGTTCTCAAAATATATAGCACATGGATGTGGCCTAGTTCGCAGAGCACCATATAATATAAATTTGTTTGTATTTTAATAATTGATCTTTGTTTGCCATTTGTCCAATGGTCAGGCATGGGCAGACACAGAAGGAGGAATCATCCGTGCTGCAATGGCCTACTGCCTTGACCGATTCCAACGGAACAGAGATTCAAGGCAGGAGTGGCGAGAGCGTATTATAGTCGAATTTGTAATATTTTTACTATGCGCTTCTTCTCATCTTTCGAGGAATTAATTTGCAAAGGGTAAAACAAAAGTGCTATGTCGATCATTTGCTAGCGTCAACTCCTACAGATAATCTAGGCCGATCGGTCCGGACCTGACCTGACCAGTGACAACTCCTGATGAATTAAGCTTCGGTTAGTTCTGTCATGTCGCCTACACACACATGCACGTCAGCCTGTCTCACCCTCTGCCTCTTTTGTCTGGAGGCGAGGCCACACACGAATGGCCGAGATCAAGTCGGTGATCCGAGCGAAACTTCAGGATTGACTGCCGCTGTCTGCCGCTTCTGGATTGATCGATCCATGTTTGCGATGCGAAGATGACATAATTTTTGATCTGTTAATTGTCCAATTCAACAAGCCTCTTAGTTGTCGATGTGGGTTCTGAGAAGTCTAGCAAAGCTCTGCATGGCCTGATGATTGCAATTGCAAATGGAGGAAACATGTAATATTATGTTATTTGCAACATGTTCAAAGAGCCCAGCAGTTCATGGTAATATGATGTTTCCTCCAAACCAGTCACTCACTCTCCCAATCTCCAGGAGCATGGGAAGCTCGCACCTGACGGCCGGAAGACGCCCACGAGGGGAGTTGGCGCTGCCAGGGTCAAGCAAGAAGAGGCACCGCCGGCATATATATTACTATACTTTGGACCGGTGGTCATGCGATCAAGCCATCCTAAAAGCCATGAATCTGCATGTTAATTTTACAGCAATAATTAATGCATACGGATTCTTTGCGGCTCACGTCACGCAACCCCAATTCTTCTTCAACCAAAAAATTGAGGCGGCGCAGAAAGCGGTGAGCATGGACCAGGTGGAGACGCAAATCCAAGAGCACGATTCTCAGTACCAGTTTCCCTCCCCCATCTCGAAGCTCAACTTGAATTGTGGACATGAAACAGAAGAGGATTCTTCCGGAGATGATGGTGAGGAGGGAGCTGAGGAAGAAATGAAAACGCATGACGAATGCATAGAGCCTATTGAGCCCCATGACCCATGTACCTATCTCATCGAGAGTGATGGGGAAAGTGTACTGTCACCCAGGAAGGCAAAGGTTTGCCCCACGCCTTCAGAGGCATTGCCTGAAGTAAAGGAGGTCCCCGAGCCTGTGGCAGGTTCCGGTGCTGGGGCGATGTTGCAGGACAATTTGCTTGATGAACCACCTCCCCCTAGTCATGAGGAACAGGTATATATCGAGGAGGCTGAAGCCATTTTGGATTCAGATGAAGAGAAGAAAGCAAACAAGGGTGTCTTCAAGGACCTGGTGGGGTGTGATTCTTTGATATTAATGCATAAATTATATAATATATTTGATTTCTGCTGGCATCTATATAAATACCGGATACCCTAGCTAACTGGCTTCAAAAATGGTTTCAAGGATCAATGCATTGCATGCATGCAGATGCACAAATCCTGATTTATAACTATCGCGCATGGAATCAAACTGAAACAATTGTTCTTCAAAGGTGCAACCCAATCGACCTGTTGCAGGACCGGAAGCCTTTGACCGATCAGGTTGAGATCCCCCAAGATCTTAAGGCACAAGCGGAAGCGAGGCTAAAGGATCTAGGAGCTGAAGAGCATGCGGGAGAGATACTGAAGGCTGTCACAGATGTCGATTATCGTTTGTATAAGCTGTGTTCAATCTTGATCCTGAAAAGTACAGTCATGTCTCAACATGTGAATTTTGGACAGACTCGATGCTTTGACTGATCAGTTGATCTTTCGACTAAACTATTATTATTTGCTCGTTGCCAAGTTGTCCGTTTGTTTGGGTGGCATCCAGTTAGTTCAAACAAAGCTCACAAGCAAAGCAACGAACGATTCACTTTATGCATTAGCAATGGATCATTTAAATAAGCTGAACACTCTTTCCCAACAAATGAACTGGTAGACCGAAAAACCGTGCCCTCCTCATCCCTGCTCCTGCTTTTGAGGCCCAAGCTGCCATTCGTCAAATGGTGAAAGAAGCCGCGGAGGATCCTGATAAGGGACTTGCAGAGATGGTGGAGGAAGAAGAAGCTGCTATCGCCAAAACACAAAGACGGGGCAAAGGCAGAGGAAGAGGACGTGGCAAAGGTCGGGGCCGTGCTGCTTCGAAGAAAGCTGCTGATGAAGAGGATCCGAAGGGTGATGATGCTGCAGGTGAAGCTGCAAAACAACCAAAAGCGAAAAAGCCACGGCAATCAAAAAAGAAGGACGCGGAGTCATTGGCTGCTGCTGAGAGTTTAAACCAATCAACTTCCAGTACTACCAGGCCGCCTGATGAACCAGGGGAAGAACAGGCTGCTGAGGTGGCTCCAAAGAAGATCCGGAAAAGAAAGTCATCCAAAAGACTTATTCTACTATCCAAGAGTCCTTCGGCCAAGAAGAAAAA